CAAACTCCAGGAATGTATGAGTACCATATATAAAGGATGTAACATTCGCAAAAAAAAAAAAACCCGTGTATATCCTTCCTTCAACTGTGAATCATCTCAACATGACTTGTACTACTTACAATTCAATCACCTACTAGCTACGTGACCATGGACAGTTCCACATCCTGTACACCAACTTCCTCATCTAACATAAGAGCTAATAGTAGGGCCCAGTGCAATAGTGTTAAGTCCTTGCATTGCATGCTCCGGGATCCCATATGGGCACCAGTTCTAATCCCAGTAGCCCTGCTTCCCATTCAGCTCCCTGCTTGTGGCCTGGGAAAGCAGTTGAGGAAGGCCTTGTGATCCCATACCCATGTGGGAGACCCGGAAGACGTTCCTAGTTCCTGGCTTCAGATTGGCTCAGCTCCAGCCATTGAGGACGCATGGGGAGTGAATCAGCAGACAGAAGATCTTCCTCTCTGTCTCTCCTCCTCTCTGTATGTCTGACTTTACAATAAAAATATATAAATCTAAAAAAAGAGTTCACAGTAGCTATTTTAAAAAATGTTATTTTTAATATTGTTTACATAGTTGACATAAGGACCACTGATTAGGGTGGGGAGGGTCAAGATATGGGGGAAGGTGGGTGGAACAAATTCCAATTTTCCTTTTTTCCCCTTTTCTCCTGTATCTGGTGGAGAGGAGAGGAGGGGGTTGGGGTGCAAGGAGTGGTGGGGGCTGCTCCCAGCTGCCAAAATAAATCAGTACCTGGGGATAGAGGATGTCTTCTTGATGTCATTTAGAAGAATGTTCTGAGTGTACTGCCTGATGCTGTTGGTTTTGCTACTCCAAAGTTGAGAAAATGCTTCCAAGGTTCACTGGCTGACAGAGTCCACCTTAGTGCACCCACTTGCCCAGACACTTGGCCAGGAGAGTTGTCCAACATCTTCTGCTTCCCATCTTCTATATGGTACTCAACATCCTCTGCAAGCCTAAATGAGCTGGCTGTTATGCCCCAACCCATGCACCTGGGCATGCTGTCCACTGCACAGGCATCAGCAATTGAAGCACAATCCTGATACACGAATTCCAAGGTCAGACCAAATACAATGATTCTCCCTGTGGACAGAATTTCAAATCCAGTAGTCCAGTTGGGAATTCTCCCAAGAAAACTCACCTGGGGTGACTCCAGACCTGACCCGCATTTGCCAGCCAGTACAGGCGCCGGTTCAGTCTGTCACCTGTATCAACCTATGCATTCACTGGTGATTGTAGCTGTCAGCTCAGTTCCATCCACAGCCCCAAGGTCCTATGCAAACCAATGTGTGCTGTGGTTCAACCCAACCCAGCAAGCCACAGACCTGACCCTTGAGCACACCAGCAGGAATTGAAGCCTGGTTGGGGGAGTCCTTCAATTGCCCTCCATGAGGCCTGCCCACAACCCTGGTTCCTGCGTGGCCCAGTACATGGAGCATACTAGTATGGTCCTTGCCACATCCCAACGGGGCTCTCATGTATGGGTGTTGCAGCTTAGCCCACCCCAGCCCACACATATCCAACAGATACTGCTGCCCTGTCCAGACACACCCGCCCCCAGCCCTGGCTCTCATGCACACCAGCAGGAGGTGCATCCTGGCAGAGGAGTGCCCACTGTTTTCCTACTAGAAGCACTCCTAGTCCCAGGTCTTGCACTTTTCCAGGACTACTTGGGTCCAGTCTGATACGACTTACACCCTTTCCCGGCACCAATTAGCAGATGCTGCAGCAAAGCCCAGGTAGTAATCATTTATCCTTGCCATTGTATGCACCAATGGATGAAGTGCCCTGGCCTAGCCTAACCCTCCCCCAAATCCAGCTAACATGCAGGGTGATGGTTGCTGAAGCCCTGCACAGCTCGGATCATGCTCAGTTCCAGCTCTTATGCTCCCCATGGGAATAGTGACCCAGCAAGGGGGCTCCCACAATCCCCTCAACAGGCTCACTCTTGGCCTGACATCTTACATGCGCTGGTAGGTACTATAGCCCAGTCAGGCATGGCCCATCTTGCCTTGGCATGCCTTGCCAGGTGCTGCTACCTGGCTCCACCCGGCCTGCCCTCAATTACAGCCCAGTCCCAGCCCTAATGTGAACCAGTGGGTATTGTGTACCAACCCAGCCTGGCCTGCATCCCACATTGACACTCACACCTGCCAGCAGATGTTGCAGATCAGTCCAATCCAGCCCACCCCCACTTCTGACCCACATGTATGCCAATGGATACTATAGCCAAGCCTAGACTGGCCTCTTATCCCAGTTCACACTCACCAGCTGGCGCCGTATCTCAACAGAGTAGTTCTCCAAGATCCTAGTCATGGACCTTGCGCACACTAGTGGGTGTTTGGCACAGCCTGATTTGGCCTAACTCTAGTTCTGACATTCACCAGCGGGTACCATGGCCTTGCCAAACCAGGCCATACCCATTATGGTTCTCACTGGTGGGTGCTACAGCTTGGCTTGGCTACAGCCCTACCTGGCCCACCCCCAGACCCGGCTCTCATGTGGATCAGTGGGTGCCATGATCTAGCCCAGCCCAGCACATACTCTTACGACCACCAGCGGGTGCTCTAACCTAGCACAATCTGGCACACCCCTAGACTCGACTCACAAATATGCCGAGGGATGCTGCAGCCATGTTCAGCCCAGTCTACCCCCATTCTCAACTTATCCCCCACCTGTTTCTTCTTTTTTATTTGGGAAGTCAGATAAACAGAGAGGAGAAGAGACAGAAAGATCTTCCAGCCGCTGATTCACTCGCCAAGTGGCTACAACGGCCAGAGCTGAGCCAATCAGAAGTCAGGAGCCAGGAGCCAAGAGCCAGGAGAGCTTCCTCTGGGTCTCCCACATGGGTGCAGGATCCCAAGCTTTTGGGCCATCCTCAGCTGCTTTTCCAAGCCACAAGCAGGGAGGTGGATGGGAAGCACGGTTTCCAGGATTAGAACCAGCACTCACATGGGATCCCGGCATGTGCAAGGTGAAGACTTTAACCACTAGGCTATTGTGCCAGGCCCTATCTCCCATCATGATTGTTACCATTGGATGCTGCAGTCTGGAATGGCCCACTCATCCCACAGCCCTGCCCAGGTCCCAACTCTGGCTGGCTGGTGCTATAGCCTAGCCCTACCCAGCCTGCCCCCCATCCCTGGCTCTCATGCAAACCAATCAATGTGACATCGTAGCCCACCATGGCCAACACTGTACTTTAGCTCCTGCACACACCACTGTGCTATGCTTTGGCTCAGCCCTCCTGGTTTACCTACTTAGCCAGCCTGCACATTTGCTGATGAACAGAGCAGCCTTGCCCACCTGGCTCACATCCAGCCCTGACTCTCATGCTCACCAGCGGAGGCTATGGCCCACCAGAGTTTGCCAAGTTCGCTTGCCAGGCCCACATGTGCCAATAGGTGCAAGACCCCTACCACCATAGTCTGCCCTCCTGCCTTAGCCTTTGCATGTGCTCGTGGATATTGAGGCCAGGCCTGACTCACATCCAATTCATGTGTGTATGTTGTTGCTGCAGCCTGGGCCAGCCCAGCCTATTCCCAACCCCAGTTCTCGTGTCAGTGAGTTTCTTGGTCATGCATAGGTCAACCCATTATCACCCCCAACCCTTGAAGAAACCAGTAGATATTGCAATACCACAGGGATAAGCCCACAAATCGCCCATAGAACCTGCCCTCAGATCCAGTTCTCCTGAGTGCCAGTTGGTAACTTGGGCCCACTGTAACATGCCCCTCCTGTCCTAACACTGGCGGGTACAGTGACCTATCCCTGCCAAGCAGGCCTCCCAGCCCTAGCTTTCCTGTGCACTGCTAGGTGGTGGTAGATGCCAACTAGCCCAGCTCAGGATTCCCACTGTAGGCAGGTGCACTGGTTTAACCCAGAAAGGTGCTCCAGTTTCCCTCCTCCATTCTGCTTGGCCTCAGCCCCCTCACTTCCCTACAAGTGCAGTGGCCTGGTTGGTGAAAGCCCCAGAAGTCACACCTCACCTGTAATGTACTCCCCCAGTAGTCCCGATGACCCATACATCCCTACGTCTCATTCCCTGAGCAAACCACAGCCCCTATGCCCACGAGTACAGTGGGGTAGCCTGTCACCTGGAGTCCTGCCCTCCTGCCCAGGGCCCCCTTGTATCCACTTGACAGGGTTACTGCACAGCGCTCCATCAGGGACAACACAAAGACAATGATATTCTTTGTCAATGATTAGTATTTTTAGCTTAATAAATAGAAGGGAAGTATTTGCTTCACCAGCACACACACTAAATGGAAGAGAAAAAAAAAAGTGGACTATAGATAAGCCAGGAAGAACCACACAAGTCGGTTACCTCTTGCAACATCATCATGAAATGGAAATGTATGCTCAGTCAGTGGGGGTGGTAGTGGCAGATTTATATTTGAAAACTAAAAGATCTAGTATTTAATGTTAGATACTATCTCAACTAACTTCTTCCCACAAGCAGCACTTAGAAAGCGGAAGCAAACAGCGTCTGGAAATCCCCCAAACAGTGTCAGACAGGGCAGAAAAACACATTCACACAGAGCAAGGTGTCTGGCTGGTAGCAAGCACACAAGCTTATTGAGTGGAAATGCACAAACACAACTCTCCCACAGAGCCTGAGGTCTGGTATGTCAGCCCTACATCCTAACCCAGGCTAGTAGCTCACAGGGACAGGTCCCACTGCTTGGAGCCTCTCCCTCAGCATCAGGTCCCGTGTCTGCTCCAGCTCCAAGGCGTCCAGCCAGTGCAACCAGCCAGGGGCTCACTTGTGATGTGTCCTGAGGGGCTTCACTCCTTTCAATTCCTGGCAGTCATGCTGGTGAAGAGTGAGGTTCCAATTTTGCTTTACTCAATTTGGTTTCCTTAAAACTTTCATATGAGGTGGCACTGTGGCAGTCACTGCTTGCAACACACGCATCCCATACGCATGCTGACTAACCACAGAACATAACACACTGGAAGCAAGTTTTAGAAGAGCTTACTTGTGGGACGTCCGCTTCTTCATCATGTTTGCAGACACTCCAGCATGGCCTGTAAGACAGGTGAGTTACAATCAAGGAAAATGTATGAAACACAGCTCAGAACACACAGAGAAATTAACCACCAGCAGCCCACACGTAAGAATCATTTGCTCACTGTTTCACAGAGGACGTAAGGCCTCTGGGAGTACAAGGGACAGTGCACAGGCAGCAGTTCCTCCCCACCCAACACCAGCTCAAGGTGGGCACCAGAACCACACAGAGAGTGAGTGGTTACTGCAGCCACAGTGCAACATGGTACGCAACTGTCCTCCTGTTGTGTAAATTGAGAATGGGACAAAATACACAGGTATCTGAATTGAGACAGCAGAGCGGCACCAAATATGGTCTATGAGAACTGGCAAGGAAAGAGGGATGAGCAGGTTTCACAGACATCCCAAGAAGGGACCAGAAGTGAGGCCAGGACTGTAAACCAGTGCAGGCCAGGAGGAGCTGCCGCGGAGGCACAGCCTCCAAGGCCTCCGGGAAGGGGTCTTCAGTCTCTGGCTAAGCCCAAGTCTGCATATAAAGAACGATGAGAAATTACAGCGACCAAAGTTGGTCCAACTCCACTCAGCCGCTTGAGCACGTGGGTCACGCCACAAACTTCCAAAGGGGGATCCCCACTAAGAAGCTGGGGAAACCTCACATCCATCTTCAGCACCTCCTGCCCGACACACTTTGACATTCTTTATAAAATATCAGCAACTGTCTGAATACTTAACCACAGTATGTGGAATATCTAACGCTCCAATAAAAACCGTGTGCAGAAAGATAATTACAATCCCATAATCAAGTGAATCATAGCCAAAACAAAGTATGTAGAAGGGCATGGAGAAACTAAGTCCAACTATTTAAAGAATACAAATACTTAAAAATACTTATAAATACTTTAAAAATGGAAAATACAAAGGAAACAAAAGGCAGGAGTGAAAGATATAGGACTTCAAGCGAAAAGTTCATTGACTGTGGTTAATGAAACAGATCCTTAGTGTGCGGGAGCACAGCCCTACTGACAAACCACCCTAAGGGGAGACATAAGGGAGGAAGGAACACAGCCCCAGGGAGCCACGGGACGCACGAACTGGTCTGACATACAGGAAACTGGACACGAATTTGAAGGAAGAAAAGAGTATAAAGTTTTCCACTGGTAATAAACAATATATGACCACAAAGCCAACAAAAGAGCAAAAACAGGAGCAGGCTGGGGCAGACGCTGTGATAGAGCATCACATGGGACGCCCACATTTGATATCAAAGTGCCTGCTTAGAGCCTCAAGTCACTCCACTTGCAACCTAGCTTCCTTTGCTAAAGCCTGTGGACGCAGCCAGTCTCGGCTCAGTGCTTGGGCCTCTGCTACCTACCTAAGAGATCTGGACCGAGTCCTGGACTCCTGGCTTTGGCCTGACCTACTATCTTTGTCTTTTGCAGTCATCTGGGGGAATGAACCAGAGGATGGAAGTTGCTCTCTCTCTCTCTCTGGCTCGTTTGATCTTGCTCATTCCATCTGTCAAGTAGATGAAAGCAACATTCAAAAACAGTGGGTATTTGGCCTAGCAACCAAGACCCACATGAGGCGGCCAGTACTGTCAGAACAGTAGTTAAATCCACTGCCTATAATGCGTGACCCGTACAAGTGTTGGGTCTGGTTCCAAACAGCATACTCCTGATGCAGTTCCTTGTTAAGGCACCTAGAAAAGCACCAGAGGATGGAAAAATGCTTGGGCCCCTCCCTGCCAGCCATGTGTTCCTGGCTCCTGGCTGGCCTGCCTCAGCCTTTGCAGCCATTTGCAGTGTGAACCAGCAGACAGTTCTGTTCTCTGTAACTGCCTTCTAAGTGATTGAGGGAATAAATCAATCTATATAAATCAATAATGCAGACCATATGTGGCAGCAGTGATTGCCCAAGAAGCTGGGTTCCTGCAGCCCTTGTAGGAGACACAGTGGACTGCTTCTGGGCTTCCGCCTGGCCCCTACAGTTGAGGTCATCTGTGGAATGACCCAGCAGATTACAACTCATTCTACTGTGTGTCTTCTCTCTGTTTCTTGAATAACTTAAAAACAAAGTACCTCACACCAATGTTCTTGCTGATCAAATTTCTGAGCCCAACTGGTAAAGAGAATATTTAAAGCCAGCCAGGACTGAGTGCTTGTCACAGTGGTTAAGGCAAGACGTGAGATGCCAGCATCCCTTACCAGAAGCCATGGCAGTGCTGCTGCAATTCAAGCTTCCTGCCAGTGTGCGCCCTGGGAGGCATCAGGTCACCCCAGGGGCAGGACTGCACTCTGACCTTCTGGCTCCAGTCTGGTCTAATCCCACAAGCTGCAGCTATCTGAGGAATGGACCACTGGAAAGATCTCTATCCTCCCTGTTTCTCTGCCTTTTAGACATACAATAATAATTTAAAAAAAAAAAAAAACTCATATAAAAATAGCCAAAGAATACGACGCACACTGAAATAGGGAAACAACTGACACAGCAGTTCTAGATTTGTTGTCCCACAAGGAATATAACTGAAAGCACTACAAGACAAGCCAACCAGGCAGCAGGTCGAGCTGCCACTCAGAATTCCTGGCAGACAGCAGACCATCACTCAAACACTGAGTCCCTGCCACCAGTATGGGAAACCTGGACAGAATTCCTAGCTCCTTGGCTTCAGCCTGGACCAGCCCGGGAAGTAAGCCAATAAACAGAACTTCCTGTTCTCCCTGCCTCTGCACACATGTATGTATGCATTGTTCCACATCTCAAATTAAAAACAAACATTTTCAGGGCCTGGCATGGTAGTCTAGTGGCTACAGTTCTTGTCTTGAACACACTCTGGGATCCCATATGGGTGCCGGCTCTAATCCTGGCAGCCCTACTTCCCATCCAGCTCCCTGCTTATGGCCTGGAAGGGCAGTGGATGACGGCCCCCAAGGCCTTGAGATTCTGCTTGGGAGACCTGGAAGAGGCTCCTGGTTCCTGGCTTCAGATCGGCTCAGCTCCAGCCGCTGGGGCCACTTGGGGAGTGAACCAGCAGACAGGAGATCTTCTTCTCGTCTTTCGTCCTCTTTCTGTATATAACTTTGCAATAGATAAAGTAAACATTTAAACATTTAAAATAAACATTTAAAAAATGGGCATTGTAGGCAATTGGAGAGTAAATGAGAACTCTGACTGGCTGTCTTGCTCAAAAATAAATAAAGTTTTAAAAAGGGTAATTCAAAAAGGTAAGATGGCCAATTCACCAAGAAGGCATACTCCTCAACACATCTAAACCTAATTCTACAAACAGGGTTCGGCGCTGTGGTACACTGAGTAAAGTCGCCATGGTGCTGCCATCCCATGAGTGCTGCTCCATGCCCCAGTGCCCCACTGTGAGGCCGTGCCTGCTAACAGCCTGGGAAAGCAGTGAAGATGTCTGCAGCGTTTGGGCCATAAAGCCCTGGCTTTGCCCTGTCCCAGTCTTGACTGTCGCAGCCCACTGGGGAGTGAACCAGAGGATGGAAAACCTTTCTGTCTCCCTTTCTGCCAAGTCTGACTCTCACACAAGTAAGTAAAGCTTAAAATAAAACAAAACACGTGAAGCAAAAATTGATGACATGGCCAGGAAGGAAACATGTGAAATTGTATCATATTACACAAGTTCTCCAGTCTCAGCAATTGATGCAACTAACTGAAATGAAGACTACATGAAATCATGACCTACTGAAGGTCGTGAACAGCCCATCTAACTTAGCTGACATTTGTAAACACTGGACCAATTATGCCAAAGCACACATTTTTCCAAGTTGGCATAGAAACATTCATCCAGGTGCCATCACATGCCAACTCATAGCACGTTTCAATATACTTAAAGACAATTTGAAATCATAAAAACATAACCTCTTACCACATTAGTTAAGCCAGAAATAATAAAATATTATCTGAAAAATTAAGCATAGTAAAAAAAAAATTTTTTAAGATTTATTTACTTGAAACATGGAGTGATAGAGAAAAAGGGGTTTTCCTTCCACTGCCCTCTTTTAGTGGCAAGCTCCGGAGCCACTTCCTCCACAACTCCCACATGGATGACCAAGACCCAAGCATCTGGGTATCAGTGGCCACGCCAGCAGGTGCATTAACCAGAAACCATCAGAAGCAAAATAACTGGGACTCAAGTTGGCACTGATAGAGGATTTCAGCACAGCCAGCAGTGGCTTAAGCACTGCACCACAACACTAGCTCCCGGACAACAGCTTTCTAAAGATCCATAGCTCAAAGGCAAACTCACATAAACAACCCATCAACATCTATCAAGCAGTACTAACAATATTCATCAGGAACATCTGTTTAAAATGATAAATTATGAAGGGAAAAAGGACTTTTTGAGGCTCTGGAATGTTGTGGCGCATCGTGTTAAGCCACTGCCTGCAATACTGACGTCCCATATGGGTGCAGATTCAAGACCACAATGATGCTCCTGGGGAAGCAGAGGAAGATGGTCCAAGTTCTTTTTTTTTTTTTTTTTTTTAATTTTTATTATTTTTTCATTGGAAAGGCGGATATACAGAGAGGAGAGACAGAGAGGAAGATCCTCCGTCCGATGATTCACTCCCCAAGTGAGCGCAACGGGCCGATACTATGCCGATCCGAAGCCAGGAGCCTCCTTTGGGTCTCCCACGAGGGCGCAGGGTCCCAAAGCCTTGGGCCGTCCTGGACTGCCTTCCCAGGCCACAGGCAGGGAGCTGGAAGGGAAGCAGGGCTGCCGGGACTAGAACCAGCACCCATGTGGGATCCCGGGCGTGCAAGGCGAGGACCTTTAACCACTTGCGCCACCGCGCCGGGCCCAGTTCTTAAGCACCTGCACCCACATGGAAGCCCCAGAAGAGGTTCTGCTTTGGTCTGACACAGCCTGGGTGGCTGTGGCCATTTGGAAAGCGAGCCAGATTTCTTCTTTCTCTCTCCCTCTTTCTGTGTATATACCTCTTCTGTGTAGCTCTGGCTTTCAAATAACATTTAAAAAAAAAAAAAAGAAAAAAAAAAGACTTCTTACCATGAAGTCAGCACAGTGGAGAGGACAGGAGGCTCCTGATCATCTGCCATTGCCCTTCTCTAGCACTTACAGTGAGCTGTGCACTGAAGCAAGCATTTCAATATTGTCGCATTTACAACATTTAAAAGTTAACTAAATATAGCTGAAGTTCAGAGACAAAGATGTTGTGATGGGGGATCTGAGTGTAGAGAGCAAGTGTGCCCTGCCCCTCTAGTGAGTGAGGAGGAGAGAGGGGCAAGGAGGGCACTAATGGTGAAGCGAGCACTTGCCAGCAGCAAATCCTCCAGAAGCATTCCTGTGACATCTCTGGGCTGCACAGCACACCAGGAGGAGGGAGGGGAAAAGGAAAAAGGCAGGATCCACCGAGGGTTTACTCAAACTGCACCTGGTGTCCAAACCCCTTTCCCCCAATACGCACAACACCCCGCTGGATACACCATGTGCTGACTTCTGGGCAAGGCAGGTGCTTCACGGGCCAATCACACAGACATCATACCTGCCTTTCAACAAAAAACTACAAGGTACATTAAACACAAAAATGGACTGAAGAGACTGAACACATATCGGGACCAGACTCAGAAATGGCAGGATGTTGGAGTGATCAGGACAGGAATTTGAAATCATTAATATGCTGCAAAGTTCAGTGAGTAAGTGAAAAAAAAAAAAAAGATTCTAGACACAGATCTTACACCTTTACAAAAATGAGGTTAAAATGGGGACACAAACCTAAGTTAACATATGAAATTATAAAATACCTGGTAGGTAACACAGGGACAATCTAGATGACCTAGGCTACAGCAATGACTTGCTAGGTGTAACACCAAAGGTATCATCTATGAGAAAAACAAAAAACTGTAAGAAGCTGGAACTTCAAGAAAACCTTAAATGCTGAAGACAAGGTCAAGACAGCCCATGGTCACACAAGCCCCAGATTAGCAGCAAGTAGCTGCATCGGAAACACCTAATTCAGGAGGTCTGGCTTTAGCAGCTCTGATGTGATGACAAGATGCGGACTTGGAGAGCTTTCCGGTCACACGATTAGACCTTAGCTGTCCCTGAGCCTGTCCCCACAGCGGTGTGTGACCGCTCCACGTGTTTTCAGAACCTCCAACTCTCAAAAGTGTCAAGAGAACTTGGCCCACTTCTCAATCTTCAGAAACCCCAGGAAACTTAAGAAACCCCTCTAATAAAACTGCCCTGAAGTTCTCCACTATTAGACAAAAATACTAGAAAATGCAAAATTGAAGAGGTAGTCAAAGATCTGGGGCTTGCCAAGGTCACAGGAAGTCAAAGCTCAACAGAGTGCAGGGATCTCTAATGCAGGAGAATCATGCTGTATGACACTGTAATGGCAGACGCACACCATCACATCTCTGCCCCAAGCACACACGCACAAGATCAACAGGAAGCCCAGTGCAAATCGCCGCTCTGGATGCGACACACACTCAGAGTAGGCTGAAATCAGCCAAGCATGTAGGATAGACAGTGGGAGAGCTATACATCTGTGAGAAGGGGCAACAGGAATTTTGTGTATTTTCCATTCCATTTTGCTGTAAGTTCAAAAGTAAGATCTAATTAAAACATTCCTTAAAGGGCCAGCATTGTGGAGCTATTTCATTGAATGGAATTTCTCTTTCTATATCTGTCATTCTGCTTTTTTAATAAATTTTAAAAGACCTAAGAATCTTTTTAAGAAACATAACACAGACCCCACAATTTCTCCAAGGAAATGACTCATACCATAAAAAGTGAGAGAAAATAATATTTTTCACAAAAAGTTAAAAACTCTAATATTAGAAGAACTTACAAAAGTTGAGGAAATAACAGAAAAAGGCCTAAGAGGTTCCTAGAAGACATACAGCCTCATACACGTAACTACCCTTACAGACCATTTCTCACCAATAAAAGCAACACAACTCACAATTGTGTCAAAGAACACTAATGGCAAGTCTTCCATGTAGCTGGCAGGAGTGCAAAAACAAAACAATTATCCAAGAGGGAAATACGGTGATCTTTATAAAATCACATACGCATTTAAGATCTGAGTCGACCCTACTTTCAGAAATTCACCCAGTGACAGACTGGCACGCTATATGCACAATGCCATTCATGACAGTTCTATTTGCAATAACAGAACAGTGGAAACAATTCAAGTGCCCAGAAAAAATAAATGAACATGGTCATACAATGGAATACTATTCAGTCCCAAAACAGCATAAGCGGGAGCCACCACTGTGGCACAGAGGGTAAAGCTGCCACAGGGATGCCGTCATTTCACAGGGGTTCCAGCTTCAGTCCCAGCTCTTTCACTTCCAATCCAGCTCCCTGCCTAACATGCCTTGATGGCCCAAATCTCTGGGCTCCTGCACCCATGCGTGCAGAGACCCAAAAGAAGACCTTGGCTCCTGGTTCTGGCTTATTGCAGTCATTTGGGAAATGAACCAACAGGATAAAAAGATGTCTCGGTCTCTCCCTCTGTGTGAAATTCCGCCTTTTCAAATATATAAATATACTCTTAAAACAAAAACAAACGCCACACAGCGGATACTCTGCATTGGGAATGACCACCAAGACTATTAGGTGGCAAAGCCAACTAACAGATTAGGAGTATTGTAAATACTACCTGGGTACTAACACGTTCATCACTGACGATGGTTTCTATCTCCTGTCTGAGGCTCACTGACTTTCCAGCAGAAAACAGAACAAGACCCTTTACTAAGAGGCTGAATTACACCTATCTATCGAAATGAAAAAAGATCCATAATGTACAAACATTCTATGCCTCAAAAATAGCTACATTATGCAAAATTACAACATTCAGAGAAACCAAAACTGGTTTAACATACAGCTTTACTCAAACAAAGGTTCTAAAATAAGATGAACTCACTCAGTAACTAAACCGTGTGTAGAACTAGATATCTGACTACCCAGAGATCCTTGTGGATTAGAAACACCTTGCCACATCACACTTGCTCATCCAAACTCGGATACACTCCTCCCTGGAAGCCCCTTTCCCTCTCTCCCTTCCCACAGGGAGTCTGTTACGGTGATACCCCTAGCAGGTCACAGATTTCATAAGCCTAGGGCTGCATACCATGTAGCAGTCTGTGGGGCAAGGCCTTAGCAGAAGGTAATGGGTGTGTGTGTGCACACAAAACTCCAAGGCAGAAACGAGAACATCGGAGAGATGAGCTGTACCTGTATATGAATGATATCACCCTAGTAATCTGAAAATCACTCTCCAGAGAACACATCCACAAATATTAACCCACTCACAGGGACCCTCATGATTTCACAAAATATACTACATAACTAAGGTCACTTTCTCACACATAGCTTCCCTCCACATCCTTGGTACTCATCAAATGAAGGCTCTGTAGACTAACAGCAAAGAAACAAATCACCAGAGCTAACTCCAGAAATGTTTAAATGCAATTTACATTCTCAGAAATGCAACCTACTTGCACTAATAAACAAGCATGAGAATTAAAAAATGACCCAGAAGACAGCAAATGGAAGGATAGATCTAAGAGGCCTAATATCCAAGCAAGATATTCCGGACTAGACAGTGAACAGGAGATGACTGAAGAAGTACTCAAAATTCTGCATTGTTCAGACAAAGCTGGAAGCCATAACTCACAAGGACACTCCTTAACACACGTTAGCATCGTGTTTCAGAATGCCTAGAGAAAAGGCAGGAAGGTAAAACCCACTGGTCACAAAGAATGAGCAATGAAGAACACCAGCCAATCTTTACTAAATATAATGGGACCTCAACCAATAGAGAAATGCTTTGAAAATTCAGACTAAAGAGTACCTCCCTTGTAACTTTCCATTAGAATTACAGATTGAGCATGATGGCAGAATAAAGACAGTATTAAGACCTCCAGAAACTACTTTCAGGGGCCAGCAATGCGGCACAGCAAGTTAAGCCCCAGAGTAAACCACCAGCGTATCAATTCAGAGTGCTGGTTCAAGTCCCCACTGCTCCACTTCCAATCCAGCTTGCTCATGTGCACGAGAAAGCAGTAGATGATGGTCCGGATAGGCGGGGCCCTGTCACCCACTTGGGAGACAAAGATGGAGTTCATTTGGGTCTAATCAGCCCTGGCCATTTGGGGACTGAACCAATAGATCATTGTGCCTTTCGAAAAAGTAAATCAGAAAGCCAGCAAGTGAGTGAGACAAATTACTTCTATACACACTTTTAAAGAACTATTGATATAGACAATTTCAAACGTATGCAAAAGTAGAAAATAAGAATGAATAACCGTATACCTCACATGTAGCTTTGATAACCAATTCATTCACTGCCTACTCTTCAACTTGTTAAGACGTACATGCTTCACCTGGACAAGTATAAATACCAGAAAATGGTTAGCACAGCCTGCAGGAAACATGAAAAAAAAAAAAAAAGTGGAAAAGGAATTCCTACAGTGGCAAAGTGGCAAGAGATCTAGTACTCAATCAAAACAAACCAAAAAAGATAAAGTTCTATAAAAATATAAAACATTATTTTCACATACAATTTTTTTTCAGATAATTGTACCAAGGAGTTTTAGCAAATTTTGGGAGAAGACAAAATGCCTTCAAAAATAGTAATAATAATGAAAATGTCTTACTTACTTACACAACAAGGAGAAACAAAGCACACAGGCTCCTCCACCTACTGGCTCATTCCCCAAATGGCCGCAACAGTCAGGGCTGGGGCTGGCCCAGGAGGGTCCAAGAAGCTCCTCCAGCGCTCCCACACAGGTGCGGAGGCCCAAGCACTTGGCTCAGCCTTGATTCCTTTCCCAGATTAGTGGGGACCTGAGCTGAAGATGGAGGAGGAACAGCCGTGATCTGAACTGGTGCCCATATGGAATGCCAGTGTGTAGGCCATTACCTAACCTGCTACCCTACAATGCTGGCCCCAATATCAAGTTGCTATCTCAAGCAACAGAAAGAAAAGTTAACCATTAACTCCAGGAGAAACAAAATGCTCTAGCAAAAAAGCAATTATACATTACTTGGCCCAACAATGTATTACATATACATATCAATTATAATAGAATCACCTCATAATTTTAGCCAAACACAATTAGCAAGCTAGTGGGAAAGGAAGATATTATGTAAAAGATTCATAATTCTGTGTACAAGTCATCTAATACTTTTTTAATGTTATAAATTTTGAGAGTGAAAATCACAATGAGTTAACAGTCCTACCTCTGGAGTTTCTATTTGTTTTGCCTTTTAGCGTGACTTGGTATCAACAACCATAAATTTGTATCAAGTTGATACAAAAAACATCAAACTTTTTTTTTAAAGCATCTACATACACAAGGAAAAAAATCTTTGATAAATCTATTAGGTACAGTGATATTTATTGTTATCATCACCTGTACTAGCATATTTAAAATAAGTCATAAAAGAGACAATACCACTACCACTAGCAAAAGCAACAGATAAGAACAGTAGGGGAAAATATGTGAAAAATTTTACCATAAAAAAGTGGTTCCTACCTATGCTATACTATTTATTTCCATTTTCTCCACAGTACCAGGCTCTTACTCTCTTCTTCCACGTAGCTCATAGCAACTCTAATCGTGGTGTCTTCCTCTAACCTCCCCAGCATGACATAGGTCATAGGACTCTGCATTCCACACTGGTGCTAGCCCATAGCCTGGAAGAAGAAATGCTACAGAAAGGAGCAAGAAAAATCTGGACAGACCTTGCTGGGGTTTTCCAGCTGGGACATAAGCAATCTTGTCTGCTTAATGAGGTCTTCTTCAATCTCACAAGACCTGGGGCAGCCTCCTGACTGAGCAGTTAGTGGAAGTGCTATACTGCCCCACATCTTGTGCCTCATCAAACTTTCTTTCTTTTTTTTTTTAATACTTAGGCAGATATACAGAAAGAGGGGAAGACAGAAAGATCTTCCATTCACTGGTTCACTCCTTAAGTTGGTCCTCACAGAAGGAGCTGAGCTGATTCGAAGCGAGGAGCCAGGAGCTTCTTCCAGGTCTCCCACATAGGTGAGGGTCCCAGGGTCGTGAGGCCACCCTCTACTGCTTTCAAAGGCAAGTAGGGAGCTGGATGGGAAATGGAGCAGTCGGGACATGAACTGGCACCCACATGAGATGCCAGTCACGCTGGCCCCATCTCTATCTTTTGTAATATCCTTTATCATAATCTGGCAAGCATGTTACCCTGAGCTGTGTGAACTACTCTAGGAAATTCCTCAAACTCAGACAGGGGTTTGTGACAACCCTGAATCACAGTGTTTTGAGACACCCAGACTTGGAAACAGCATCTTAAAGGGGACCGTCTCACGCACGCAGCCTTCACCCAGCCTGTGGGACCTGGTATTATCTTCAGATAGAATGTCAGGATGGAACTGCAGGCCATCCTGCTGAAGCCTAGCACAGAATTCTTCAGCTGGGAATAAGGAGAATTCCCCCCCCCCTGCTTTCGGGCTCACAGAGGCACAGTGCTGTATTGTTTATGCAAGGGGAGCAGGGAGGAGCTACTTTCCTCCTGCTCTATAACCATCCAACAGTAGGAGAAAAAAAAAAAAGAAATAACCTTATAGCTCCCGAAACAGCTAACAAGCCAACCAATCCAGAATATCTGTCAGTCATATTAAGAAATACTGAACAAGAATTAAGTATAATACTGAACAAGTGTTAAGAAATACTAAACAAGAAAATGTAAGATCAAACATATAGGGATTCTCAATTTTCCCTTTAAACATTTAACATCTCCTGGGTCACTTTCAGTATTTTTTCTTCTTACCACACTACACAGCTTCCTTCTTAATAAGGATGATTTAAAAAAACACACACAATAAAGAAAACAGAAACACTGAGTTTGGAACGATGTACATACATGAACTTTGGACAATGGATTACCACTTCAAGTGACCCTGACTCAGGAACTTCCACCAGGCAATAAAATCCAACAGTTACCCTCTCATCCGATACAATGAAACCAGTGTAACAGCAATGCTATTAAAAACATCAGGCACCTGACCTGTTATTTCATCTAATCTTTAACTCCAATAGCACATTTTTAGGTAAGAAAAAAAGGGCTGACCAGACTAAAAAAGAGCATCAATCTGAAAACAGCTATAGAAAAGAAGTGGGATTCTCAGTAAGCTCTCAGACGGTGTCTGACACAGCAGTCATTACTATCCTAAGTGAAGTCTTTTTGATAAGCATAATTTTTTTTTTTCATTGGAAAGGCAGATATACAGAGAGGAGAGACAGAGAGGAAGATCTTCCATCCGATGATTCACTCCCCAAGTGAGCGCAACGGCCGATGCTATGCCGGTCCGAAGCCAGGCACCAGGAACTTCTTCCAGGTATCCCACGCAGGTGCAGGTTCCAAAGCTTTGGGCCATCCTCGACTGCTTTCCCAGGCCACAGGCAGGGAGCTGGATGGGAAGTGGAGCTGCCAGGATTAGAACTGGCGCCCATATGGGATCCCGGCACATTCAAGGCGAGGACTTTAGCCACTAGGCCACGGTACCGGGCCCAAACATAATTTTTTAAATTAATTTTTATGTGAAAGGCAGAGTTACAGACAGAAGGTGAGGTAGACTGAAATCTCTCATCTGCTGGTTCATTCCCCAAATGGCTGCAACAGCCAAATGTGGGCTGATCCAAAGCCAGGAGCTTCCTCGGGGTCTGGTCCCATGGCTTTGGATCATCCTTCTCTGCAGCTCTGCCAGGCCACAAGCAGGGAGCTGGATGGGAAGAAGAGCAGCCGGGACACGAACCGGCGCCCCTACAGGACTGCAGCACCACAGCAGCAGCTTACTCTACTACGCTGCAGTGTAAACCCAAAATATCATTTTTTGCAAAGGTTGTTTATTATTTTTTTAGTCTGAGAAGCAGAGTCAGAGATAGAGAGAAAGACAAAAAAAGAGATCTTCCATGTCACTGGTTCATGCCCCCAAATGCCATAACAGCTAAGGCTGGAGCAGGCCAAGGCAGGAGTTGAGAACTCGATCCAAGCCTGCTATATGGATGCAGAGTCCCAGCAACATTACCAGTGAGCTAGATCAAAGGCAGAGCAAGCAGGACTTAAACCAGCAGTCAAACTGGATTAAGCATCAGCAACAGCAGCTTAATATGCAAGGCCAGGCACTGGCCTCATAGCAAATGTTGAAATCAGTATTATTTTTATACAGAGATAACCAAAATGATACTTAGAAAATCTTAGTCTCTGCGGATTCTATGAAAAAGGCACTCCAAATACACTGCAAAGGTAACCAGCTTGGTAATGCTTGTAATAAGTCTGCTAGCATATTCCCATAATAGTGTAACAAAGAACCTTAAAATATATGATGGATTTTTCCTCAACTCCAGATGTTTATGGGGCTGAAGAATAAAATTCCAAAGAAAATACAACTTGTCTATTTTGTAGTGTATCCTATAAGGTTTATTTTATCTTTCTGCATACCTTAAAAATAAGAATTAATGCAACTAAATAGCCATCTCATTTTCATTCTAGTAGGGTTCCTTTCAAAGGAACCTTTCAAACAAACTCCTGAACTTCTCTTTCTTCCTTAAAGCTGTTCTAAATATCCTCAACTTTCTCAATTCAATATTCACCTTTCATTCTTTCAAAAAAAAAAAAAAAAAAGACCTCATTCACTTTACTATCCACCAAGTAACAGGCATTTACAATTCACTTATGTTTACTGTAACTTGCTAGAAGTTCGTTAAGAACAAAAGCAAAATCATCTTTTCCTTTCAAGAAATCTTGTTTGTTCCCCTCAAACATGTGTACACATGTACCACACTTGGGAGTGGCAAACCCTCAGACATTCTCCAAGTGCTTCTCAGTTTCAGCACTGGAACACCCGCAGAGGCAGTGCCTACCTGCATCCGCTCTGGACCGCTGGCCAGGAGTCTTTCCGAATGGGGTCTTCATTCATCTGCATTTAAGTGAGCAGCAGAGCTGCCGGACTAGGGTGAAAATTCAATATGCTCCAATTTGAAACTTTCCAAAGAATTTCAGTTTTCTCATTAATCCACTATCCAAATGTTTCCTTTGCAAGTTCAACAAAACTCCATGAAATCACAAGCACTCTGTAAAACAGTGAAAACAGTTCATTACTAGAGCATCACAGGAGTAAAATTACAGCAAAGGAGCTACGCAACAAACAACATTTTAAACACAAGTATTAGCTAAAACACACTTTACATTTAAGACCCAGATTTCTAGAACAGGACAAAGTAGAAAAAGAGTAAACAGAGCCTGTAAGAGAACTACATGCCATGTCTTTCTTAAAAATTTTCCACTTCTTTTCCTACTGTGCTTGCAAGCTAAAGCCGTGAAATAATTACACAAACAAAACCCATAATTCAACTTCACATTTACACTCTTGAACTTCATTCACCTCAACAAAAGGATCCTCCTCTACTCCAGGACGGTGCAGCAACTGCTGAGCCCTGATTCCTGTAATGAACTGGCCTCCCTGAGACATGCCGAGTTCCTCTACCCCATTCCCTCTCTTCAACAGGATACTCTCACCAGCACATAATTACGAAGCTATTCCCCAATCTTCCACAATCGTGTGACTCCATCCCCTTTCTCAGCCCCTCTTTAAACATCTACTTCAGTACCCGGCACGGTGGTCTAGTGGCCGAGTTCTCACTTTGCACGCTCCAGGATCTCACGAGGGTGCCGGTTTGTGTCCCAGATAATCCACTCTCCATCCAGCTCCCTGCTTGTGGCCTGAAAAAGCAGCAGAAGATGGTCTAAAGCCTTGGGACTCTACACCTACATGGGAGGCCCAGGAAGAAGCTCCCGGCTCCTGGCTCCTGATCAGCCCAGCTCCGGCCACTGTGACAACCTGGGGAGTGAACCAGAGGATGGAAGATCTTTCTGTCCTTCCCTCACTCTGTAAATCTGCCTTTCCAATAAAAACAATCTTTTTAAAAAAGCCTACTCCAAAGATTAAGGAAAATGTTAATCTCCAAAAAATTAATTTTTAAAAAGATTTATTTTTTTTTTGAAAGGCAGATTTACAGAGAAGGAGAGAAAGATCTTCCATTGCTGGTTCACTCCTCAGGTAGCCACAATGGTCAGTGCTGAGCAAAGCTGAAGCCAAGAGCCTCCCCAGGGTCTTCTGTGTTGGTTCAGGGTCCCAAGGCTTAGGGTCATCCTTGACTGCATTCCTAGGCCACAAGCAGGGAGCTGGATGGGAAGCAGAGCAGCCAGGACACAAACTGGCGCCCAGATGGAATCCCAGGTGTGCAAGGCCAGGACTTTAGCTACCAAGCCATGGTGCTGGGCCACAGAAAAATAACTTTTAAAAAAATGATTTATTTTTATTGGAAAGTCAGATATACAGACAGGAGGAGAGACAGAGGAAGATCTTCTGTCCAATGATTCACTCCCCAAGTGACTGCAATGGCCGGTGCTGTGCCAATCTGAAGCCAGGAGCTAGGAGCTTCTTCCAGGTCTCCCACATGGGTACAAGGGTCCCAAGGCTTTGGGCTGTCCTCAACTGCTTTCCCAAGCCACAGGCAGGGAGGTGGATGGGAAGTGGGGCCGCTGGGACACAAACTGGAGCCCATACGGGATCCTGGCACATTCAAGGCAAGGACTTTAGCCACTAGGCCACCACACAGGACCCACAAAATTAACTTTAACCTATGCAAAGAAGGTTGTTCTATGACATGAAAACTTTAGCTAACGAATATCCACAAGTTCACACAATTCTCACTGACAGATATAAGCTTATTCTGGAAATATTTTCCAGGTCGTTAATACTGAACTTGTTAATGAACTTTGATTCTAGGACAGGAGTGAGCGGCTGGTATACCTACACTGAGGGCCACCTATGTCTCCTAAGGGAGTGCCTAGGGTCAAGTCCCACCTTGGCTTCTGATTCCAGCATCCTGGGAATGGGCACCCTGGGAGGCAGCAGGGAGGAGTGAACCAGGAAAAAAGATCTGCTGCCCAGCACTTCCAACTTTGCCTTTCAAATAAACAGATGAAAAATTGGGGAGAGGGGGGTGGGAGCGACGGGTAGGTAATGTCTCAGACAAGTAACTGCTTTTTTAATAGTCCTGATTCTGACAGATCCAACAACAGATAAAACCATTAAATAAAAAGTTGCCGGAAAATTTTTTTTGGTACCAAAGCATCACCCCCACAGACTACTTTTTAACTATAAATGGAAAACTATTACTTGACAACGGAGAGCTTTAGACCTTCGTTACCAGGTCAAACTAACGCCAGTAATAAGTTGACTCCACTTTATGCATTTTTGATAATCTGATGTAATGTGATGCAAAACAAGTCAGTTATCAAGCATTCTTGTCCAAACACTTTCCCTAGGAAGCCTAGCATGACTTGAAGCCAGTTTCCAGTTCAGGAAACACAGATGATGCACAAACCAACCGATGACACCAGGAGCAACAAGCAAACCTAAAAAAGTAGGCTAGGGCACATCACCATTTGGGCCACACGCCTCAAAAAATGTCATTAAAAAGAAGGCGGACTACTGCTTCAGGTGAGAACAGACTACATGGAGCCCTGAACCAATCAAGTAAACCCTGAACCAATGAATTAGATTTGGAGAAACATCTGCAAAGGGCTCAGAAGTTAAAACAACTGGTCAACGTCATACACATTGCAAGCTGCACTGCTAGTAAATCTCTACTTTAAAAACAAACACACAAATCGCTTGCATCCCTAAAGGATAGGATACCAGAAAAAGGAAGGATAATGCAAAAAGTTAGAGATGAAGATTTCCATATTGTAGCTAGAAAAGCAGCACCCCCTCAAAACAGAAGCTCCGTACCAAAATGCTTGCTGCTGAGCCAGTGCTTGCGCTACAGCCGTAATTTCACCTCCTGCAAAGCTCGCGTTCCACATGAGCAGTTCCCATTCCAGCCACTCCATCGCTGATCCAGCTGTCAGCACAACATGGCCCAAGCATTTAGGCCCTGCCATCCATGTGAGAGACCGGATGAAGCTCTTGACTTTGGTCTGCTGGACCAGAGGATAGAAGATCTCTCTCTATGTCCCTCCATCTATCACTTTCAAATAAATCAATAAATATTAAAAAAAGAAAAAATTTTCAGCAATTATCATCAAATAAAGCTGTTTCTGAGAATAGGTTTCCCAAACTCTTTAATCCTAATTTTCTATGTACATACAAAATGTATGTATTAATACGTAACATGTCAAGTATGAACTGAAGCTTGAGCTGCCAACAAATTGTTTTAAAACTTTCCAGAGGGCTGAACAGTATTAAAAAATACATGTCCGAATCACTCCTCAGCCTTTTGGCTAAGAGCAAGTGAAGAAATACATATTTGTGGTGCAGAGGAGGGGGTGGGTGCAATGGCTTAATTGGCTAATTTCCTGCCTCGCAGCGCCAGCCAGCATCCCATGTAAGTGCCTGTTCATGTGCTGACTGCTCCACTTCCCATCAAACTCCCTGCTTACAGTCTGGGAAAGCAGTGGAGGATAGTCCAAAGCCTTGGGCTCCCACACAGGAGACCCGGAGTGGGTTCCTAGCTCTTGACTTCAGATCAGTTCAGCTTCAGCTGTTGCGACCACTTGGGGAGTAAACCAGCAGCAGATAGAAATTCTTTCTGTATCTCTTCTGTCTGTAAAGCTGCCTTTCCAACAGAAAAATCATTTTTATAAAATTATATATATTGGGACCAGCATTCATTTTGGTATGATGGGTGCTGGGGTCCGTGTGATGGGTGTGGAAGACAGGAAGGTGTGAAGAGAACTGTTCCATTGCAGGCAGGGCCGCAAAGAATTTCCTGCTGTGTGGCAGGGCCCCGCGGATGTCTCTACAACCACCTGAATGCAGCTCCACCTCCCTCTGCATGGACACAGACAACCCCGCTGAGATTTCTGTAAGGTATTCAGGCATTGTCTGCCTCTGTGGAGTTAATGGTTAGTATCAATGTGAGCTTGGAAGTTGATGTTGCTGATACCATTTTAGCCAAAAGGCCTTTCATTACTGCTGTCTTGGTTGCCCCCATTGACCATATGCTGATCAAGGGTGTTAAGTCCCCCTTTGATCCTATGTTAATCAAGGGTATAGCAGAAACCTATGCTTAGGATTCTCCTCCCCCATTGACCATATGCTAATCAAGGGTGTTCTGTCCTCAGGTGCAGTGGGAATCTATTCTTTCCCTCTTTCTTTGATCTTTAGGTCCCTCCTTCTGTGATGCCTTTCCTCCCTTAACTGATTCAAGACTAAGCTGTAGAATGAGGATTGTAGTAGGAATGTTTTACTGATTGATATGCACCTTCTACTGAGAACTTCTTAACCAAGGTGCCAGGATAGATAACATTCTGATTTAAGGTGAAACAAATGGCAGAATTAGCCTTAGAAACACTCACTTGACCATGACGTAAAAAGTCTGAGCCAGAGTTTGACTGGTTCTGTATAAATAAAGCAGATAGCTTTATTGCATTGTCCATGATGATCACGGAATTGTACTGGTCTGTTTCATTTCTCTTTACGCCTCATCCACGCACCCTTCTCCAGTTCCGAACTCAGCTGGAGCTGGACTCTGGCAAATGGATTAAACTGTTGTCCAACATCCATACAAGCAACAACTGAAGTCCCAACTGTTCCATCTGCAATCCAGCTCCATGCTACTGTGTTAGGTGAGCCAATGAAAGATGGACCATATTCTTGCATTTCCGGGATCAGTATAGGATACCCAGATGAAGTTCCTGGCAATTCACTTCAACCTGGCCCAGTCACAGACCAGCTGTTGTGACATTTAGGAAGTGAACCAATGGATGGAAGATATCTCTCTACCCTTTTCAGATAAACAGATCTTAGTGGAGGAGAGGGAAGAGCCATGGTATCTGGAATTTAAGGCAACTTTTGAAAGGCCAAACGCTGAAAAACATGACAGCAAATATCATCAAATGACTCTGGATGGACAAGTCGGGTCACTCAATTATAGTTTCAATTTTCTTATATACAAAAAATTTCATTTTAAAACCTAGGGATGTGTACCTGCAGCAAGAGCCAGAGTTAGGGGTAGGCCTGGTAGTGGACCTGAGCAGCTGGGGCTCCTGGGCCAGGCGAGCG